GGGGGGGGTAGGGGGGGTGGGGGGGGGTAGGGGAGGGGTAGGGGGGGTGGGTGGGGGGGGGGTTATGAAAAAACCCTAGGGCGTCACTCAGAACTGACTGACCGTCAGTCAGAACTGGCTGGCGTCAGTCAGACCTGACTGACCCTTGGTTTTTAAAGCTAAGGGAAGCCATTCCGCCAACCCGGCCAAGCATGCCCCCTGCCTTGTCCCAGCAAGAAACGCGTTTTTTTCGGAGGTCAATTTTAAGCAGAAACGCACCCGTTTTTGCTGCCCCAAATCCGTCGAACGTGCTACGCCGGCCACAGAAAAAAATCGGGATTCTTGTTTTTATAAGCCAGGGCATAGTAGCGGTGAAATCGGCAAAAAGGGAAAAACACGAATTTTGGCAGTTTTCGCACCAGCCGTTTTTTCACAAAGTCTTTTTTGATTTTGCGGTAACCCAATAGGTAAGGAACGAATTCAAAAAAAGAGCGTACTAGCAACAGCAATAAATCATACGTAGTAAATAGTCAAGAGCAACAACTAGCAAGTAAGCAAGCAAGTAAGCAAGCCAGTAAGTAAACAAAGCAATGCGCAACATGTAGCAAGCAGTATGTAATAATATATGCAGGCACGAAGTCGGAAGTGATACGAGTTCTGAACGCTCACAAGAAGAAGAATATTACTTTAAGTAGTCAGCCCAATACCATGTCCTGGAAGCAGCTTGCTCATCAGCAGTTCATCCCCCCTTCCGCCACGTGCAGCTCCTTGGCCATAGCAAGTAAGAAGTAACCAGAAACAGTAATAAGTAAGTGGGAAAGGCGAGTAAGCAACAACCAATACGTATTGCGTAGTAAGTACTAAGATTGATTCGTAAGGCCTACAAGCTGTACGTAATATGATTATTAGATAACTTTGTACTTCGAATAATCGAAGTAGCGTAGGCAATAAAATATGTACTATAAGTAGCAGGTCGTCCGTCTCACGCTGCAGCATCTTGGCGCAATTCGATCACTGAGGCATCCATGCATCCCGGCCTCGTAGCCATGGCACCGATGCGCCGCCCTGCTGCTGCCGCCAAGCCCGTCCTCCGGCGACCAGCGCAGCGCCGGGCGTACTACCCAAAGGAGCAGTGCCCCGGCCGCTCCGAAGCCAACGCCTGCAGGTTCAGCACGGTGAGCGTTGGGGACAAGGCCAGAATGCAACCTGCTCGCGGACAGACGAGGTGTTGCTTCTGCGACGCCGACCTCCTGCAGAAGCATCTGACGACTGCTCCAGGCAAGCGAGCCATCAGCAATGCCCTCGAGTACTTCAAGGAGCACGATGAGGAGATCTACGATGATGCGTGCAACCGGATCAAGGCTTTTGTTGGGCAGGAAGCCTTAGACCAGTGCCTGGGCAGATTGGCGCGGCTGCACAAGAAGGGACCCACAAAGGCCGCGCGTGCTCGCAACGCGCAGCAGAAGCGTGAGCAGCGAGAAGCGGCGGCCCGAGTCTCCAAGGGCGAGCAGTAGCGCGCTCTCCTGGCAAGCCGTGCGGCGCAAGGTCGGCCGACCGACGCCGAGCAGGCAGAGCACGAGCGAGAGGAGGCTGCCTGCCTTCGCAGGCTGGCACGCAAGCTCCCCGCCATCTACCAGGAGGACCGCAGGCGACCGACTGCAGAGTGGCGCAGCCGTCTTGCTGAGGGCTTCTGCAAGTGGGCGCGGTACGATTCGTGGAGCATGCATTGAAAAGCGCGCGGGGCTTCTCAAGCCTTTTTGGGGTTTCTTGAAGCCCGTTGGGGCTTGCAAAGCCATTTGGAGGCTTTTTGAAACTTTCTAAGCCTTTTTCAAGCCCTCAGGAGCCTTCTGAGACCTTTTTAAGCTTCCTGGGACCTGCCCCAAAACAGCACCTCACCAAGCTCCGGTTTAGGGTTTAAGGTATTATCTATAATATATAGTCTTATTGGCGTACGCCAAGGGACAGGCATACTGTCCCTAATGAGAACAGCTCCACGCTTGTGGTGCCACGCACGTGCTACTTGTAAAGTTCCGTGGTATGCATCCTTCCGATTTGGGCAGCAAATCGCAAAAGTAGCGAGGGGCGCTTTGGCCGCCGCCGCCTGTGGGGCGGCGGCGCTTTGGCCGCAGTTTAGGGTTTAGGGTTTAGGGTTTAGGGTTTAGGGTTTAGGGTTTAGGGTTTAGGGTTTAGGGTTTAGGGTTTAGGGTTTAGGGTTTAGGGTTTAGGGTTTAGGGTTTAGGGTTTAGGGTTTAAGGTCCAGGGTTTAGGGTTTAGGGTTTAGGGTTTAGGGTTTAGGGTTTAGGGTTTAGGGTTTAGGGTTTAGGGTTTAGGGTTTAGGGCGTCTCGCCGCGCAGCGGCAGTAAGTACCATGTGTAAATGGCGCCCCTACACACCCAGGGGGTGTGGGGGGGCGGCATGTCACGCGAAGGCATCTGTTTTCAATGTAATCCAACAATTTCATTGGTGCTGGGTTCTTTCTCCCCACCCGCTGTGAGCTTTCACAGGCCACCACCCAAACCACTACCTTTTAGGGTTTAGGGCTGTCGCCCTCAAGTCCCTCCATGGAAAACGATTCAAATCTCAAACCAAACATTTGTGGAGGGGGGGGCCGGGGAGGGCCAGGGGGCCCAGAACCCAAGAAGGGCCAGGGGAGGGGGGGCCCGGTGGGGGGCCGGCCTCCAGAGGGGGGCCCAGGGGCTCCAGGGTAGGGCTCCGGTCCTGCGTTTTCACCAAAATAAAAATCGGAGGATCCCTGTGTAAATATGGGCGCCACTCTGGTGGCCTAATGGCAAGGCGAGCCCGAGCGGCTCTCTATTCGACCATTCTCCAATGGCTCCACCCATTGTTTATCCAGTCAAGGTGTTCATCACTGCCGGATATGATATTCTGGGTCCAGGCACCCTAGAAAAGAGTGGGTACGGCCGAAGCAGGCCGGGTGGGAATTTAGGGTTTAGGGTTTAGGGTTTAGGGTTTAGGGTTTAGGGTTTAGGGTTTAGGGTTTAGGGTTTAGGGTTTATGGGTGGTTCAGAGCCTGAGGAGGGACGCCATTGTATCTCTGCAAGCCAAGCAGCACCCCGTTCACCGAGGTCAACGGCCCATCCTCAGGAGTCGGAGGGGGGTTTGGGGTTGGGGTTTAGGGTTTAGGGTTTAGGGTTTAGGGTTTAGGGTTTAGGGTTTAGGGTTTAGGGTTTAGGGTTTAGGGTTTAGGGTTTAGGGTTTAGGGTTTAGGGTTTAGGGTTTAGGGTTTAGGGTTTAGGGTTTAGGGTGTAGCGTTGGTCAGCTGAACGCAAAAGTGTGAAGACATGCCCACCCCGAGGCCACCCAAACAATACTCATCACGAAACCAAACCGGAGCCAGCCAAAGCCAAGCCAGCCATTCAAATCTCACATATCGAACATGTTCAGAGCACACTAAGATAAAACACTGCGAAAGCTTGGGATATGTGCGAGTCGTGAACACTTGCCGAACTTGAGGCGAGCTGTTGGCGATTTCTTGGGGGGGTCACTTGGGAACAGTGGCTGATTGGGACACGCGGAGATCATCTGGGGCCAGAAGGCAGCATGTCGAGCACTGCCTGGGACATTTGCTACTTTGAGGGGGGTGCCAAGGGTGTCCCTTGACTTCGGAGGTCACTCGGGGGCACAAGGCAAAGGATCCCCCCCCTCAGGTTTTGCGCAGGGGACGGTCTGGGCCGAAGGGCCCTCTCAGGGCGTGAAGAGTCTGCAGGTTTTGCAAGAATCCCCCCCACGCCGAAGTTCGCTTGGCCAGAAAACGAAACTCACTAGAGCGGTCAAAGCGAGGGGTCGGACCTTTCAGGGCTTCCTGTCAGCTCCGGGCCTTCTTTGGCAGCCTTCTGCCATTTGCGACTTTGAGGGGGTGCCGAGGGTGTCCCTTGATTTCGGATGGGCAGAAGGCAAAGGACCCCCTCCTCAGGTTTTGCGCAGGGGACGGTCTGGGCCGAAGGGCCTTCTCACAGCAATTGCAAAAATCAGCTCCAGGGCCTTCTTTGGCAGCTTTCTGCCAGTGGAAGGGTTTGAGGCCACCCTGCTTAAGGCCCCTACTCGCTGGAAGGGTTAAAAGCCCACCAGGGCCAGGGCAGGGCCAGGGCCAGGGCCGCCAGGGCCAGGGCCGGCCAGGGCCAGGGCCAGGGCCACCAGGGCCAGGGCCACCAGGGTCAGGGCCACCAGGGCCAGGGTCAGGGCCACCAGACCCAGGGCCACCCCACCAGGCCAGGGCCACCAGGGCCAGGGTCACCAGGGCCAGGCCACCAGGGCCAGGGCCAGCGCCAGGGCCACCAGCATTACCAGAACGGGCCAGGGCCAGGGCCAGGGCCAGGGCCAGGGCCAGGGCCAGGGCCAGGGCCAGGGCCAGCACCAGGGCCACCAGGCCAGGGCCAGGCCAGGGCCAGGGCCAGGGCCAGCAGGGCCAGGGCCAGGGCCAGGGCCAGGGCCAGGGCCAGGCCAGGGCCAGGGCAGGGCCAGGGCCAGGGCCAGGGCCAGGGCCAGGGCCAGGGCCAGGGCCAGGGCCCAGCGCAGGGCCAGGGCCAGGGCCAGGGCAGGGCCAGGCACGGCCAGGGCTAGTGCCAGGGCCAGGGTCAGGGCTGGGGTTTAGGGTACTAAATCTGAGACGAGCTAGGCGACTCTAGCTAGGCGACCCTCTCAGGACTGTGCCTGGCAGGCTCTGCAGCCTAGCAGAGCCTGCCGTGGTCTCGCTGAGCGCTCGACTGCGCCCGCCTACCCCAACAGAGGCGAGAGGGGTGGCGGGCAGGTTTCGGGTTTAGGGTTTAGGGTTTAGGGTTTAGGGTTTAGGTTAGGGTTTAGGGTTTAGGGTTGAGGGTTTAGGGTTTAGGGTTTAGGGTTTAGGGTTTAGGGTTTAGGGTTTAGGGTTTAGGGTTTAGGGTTTAGGGTTTAGGGTTTGGGGTTTGGGGTTTGGAGTTTAGGGTTTAGGGTTTAGGGTTTGGCAATTTGGGGGGTTTAGGTAGGGTTCAGGGAAATTGGGCTTAGGGTTTTAGGGCGTTAGGGCATTTTGGGCTTCAGGGCTTTAGGGCTGCAGGGCTTGAGGGCTGCGTATCCTAGCCTGGCGATGCTTCAGGAAGGAATCCACTCGCCAACATGAAAACTCTCGGTTCTGTCTGAGATGTTGGAGAAATTACGACCTCGCCCCCTTGTTTTCCGTAGCTGCCAAGCCATGATTTCCGAACACCCCGCGACAACTTCGAAGCAGAAGGCTGGTTTAGGGTTTAGGGTTTAGGGTTTAGGGTTTAGGGTTTAGGGTTTAGGGTTTAGGGTTTAGGGTTTAGGGTTTAGGGTTTAGGGTTTAGGGGTTAGGGTTTAGGGTTTAGGGTTTAGGGTTTAGGGTTTAGGGTTTAGGGTTTAGGGTTTAGGGTTTAGGGTTTAGGGTTTAGGGTTTAGGGTTTAGGGTTTAGGGTTTAGGGTTTAGGGTTTAGGGTTTAGGGTTTAGGGTTATACCCAGCGGTGAAATTGATATGGTTCGGGGCTTGGGCTTGTTGAGCAAGGATGAACCAAGTGCAACAGAAGAGTGCCCCCTGGGTGCCCCAAAAAGACAGCATTTGCAGGAGAGAAGAGCAGAAGCCGTGGTCCAAGAAGACCCAACTTGTTCTCCAACATGCAATTGCCTGTTCTTAAAGGTTCATGAGTATTTATGAGAAGTAGGGTTGTAAACCCGACACAGGGCCATAAGCATAGGTACCAGACTGACTTATAAGCTACTTTCCAAAGTACACATGAATCCCTAAGCACATGGGGGTTTACGATAAGGGGGCACCTTACTGGGGTCCTGATTATAAGGGGAATCTTACCATTTGGGGGTCTATATTAGGGGGTCCCTGATTATCATCAACCCCCACATCAAGGCGAACAAGGCTGCGTATCTAGTCACCTAGTCACGAGAACAAAAAAACGACAGGCCAAGGCTATGGCATGTCTGTACACGGCCAGCGTATGACCTGACACAGGGTTTAGGGTTCAGGGTTTAGGGCTGAACTGGTGAGGTGTAGGAGGCTTAAGCTTCGGAGCAAACCCCAAGATCACCTCATCTTGAACCTGCAACTTTTGAACACCACTCGGTGACCGTTGGGGGTTTAGGGTTTAGGGTTTAGGGTTTCGGGTTTAGGGTTTAGGGTTTAGGGTTTGGGGTTTAGGGTTCAGGGTTTAGGGTTTAGGGTTTAGGGTTTAGGGGTTTAGGGGTTTAGGGGTTTAGGGGTTTTTAGGGTTTAGGGGTTTAGGGTTTAGGGTTTAGGGTTAGGGTTTAGGGTTTTGGGTTTAGGGTTTAGGGGTTTTAGGGTTTAGGGTTTAGGGTTTAGGGTTTAGGGTTTAGGGTTTAGGGTTTAGGGTTTAGGGTTTAGGGTTTAGGGTTTAGGGTTTAGGGTTTAGGGTTTAGGGTTTAGGGTTTAGGGTTTAGGGTTTAGGGTTACATCTCAGGGGTTTATCATGGCTACCCGGTACCCCACAGAAGGCGAAAAGTATAGGTACCGTTCTTATGGATCCCCTACTTGCTGCCTTGCGAAATGAAGCTTTACAACTTACATAAGTTTACGTGTGACTACGATTTGCTTAAGAACCCCCCCCCCCAAAAAAAAAAAAAAAAAACACATCCCTATATGGCCCTTATACGGAAGAAGATCTGTTGCTTTTTGGTGATTTTTAAGCAAATAGTAGATGAACCCCCTAAGCTTAAACCCTAAACCCTAAACCCTAAACCCTAAATTCTTGGCTGAGAAGGGGGCCGGCATCTGCTTGCGACTTGCCAAAGTCCTGGGCGCGGAGAAGGGCCCGTGGAACCCATCATCCCTTTAGGGTTTAGGGTTTAGGGTTTAGGGTTTAGGGTTCAGGGTTTAGGGTTTAGGGTTTAGGGTTTAGGGTTCAGGGTTCAGGGTTTAGGGTTTAGGGTTTAGGGTTTAGGGTTTAGGGTTTAGGGTTTAGGGTTTAGGGGTTCAGGGTACTTATAACCCAATTAGAAGTGCAGTTGTAACACTTATAAGCCCTATAAGTACAGTTTTGATTGGGTTACTAACGGCCTTGATAGGACCCGCATCGACATGGAAGCAGAACTGCAGAACTGGGCCACTTTGCGGCTATCGTGCGCCTTATAGTGCCTTCTAGTGCCTTCTAGTGCCTTACAGTGCCTACTAGTGCCTTCTAGTGCCTTAGAGTGCCTTAGTGCCTTCTAGTGCCTTAGTGCCTCATGGTGCCTTATAGTGCCTTCTAGTGCCTTCTAGTGCCTTACAATGCCTTATAGGGTTCAGGGTTTAGGGATTCGGGGCGGCGAGGGTGCAGCCCAAACTTCAGGTGCCCCGGCGCAGTTTCATCTCCGAAGGGCCCAGAGTACCCTAAAACCCTCAAACCCCTCAACCCTAAACCCTAGACCCCAAACCCTAGACCCTAAACCCTAAACCCTAAACCCTAGACCCTAAACCCTAAACCCTAAACCCTAAACCCTAAACGGCTTCTGAGCCGCATAGTCCCTAAGCAGCGCTTGAGATCAATCTGCCTCCAGCGAGTACCCAGCTTATCGAGAAGTCTGGGGCTTAGGGGCGCGCTTCAGGAGCCCTTGTTGGAATTGAAGGGAAGGGAAACTGGAGTCTAGGGTTTAGGGTTTAGGGTTTAGGGTTTAGGTTTAGGGTTTAGGGTTTAGGGTTTAGGGTTTAGGGTTTAGGGTTTAGGGTTTAGGGTTTAGGGTTTAGGGTTTAGGGTTTAGGGTTTAGGGTTTAGGGTTTAGGGTTTAGGGTTTTTAGGGTTTAGGGTTTAGGGTTTAGGGTTTAGGGTTTAGGGTTTAGGGTTTAGGGTTTAGGGTTTTATGGTTTAGGGTTTAGGGTTTAGGGTTTAGGGTTTAGGGTTTAGGGTTTAGGGTTTAGGGGAGTCTCTTGTCAACCGGCGTCTGTGTAGGACATGATAGCCGGCTAGAAGCGGCTAGAAAGCACCGCATGACCAATCCATCCCTTAATTGATCCCACGTTCAGACGGAGTTGCCAAGGTGGACTTCTGGGCAAAGCTCAAATGGCATTTCTCAAGGCAAGCTTTGGAGGAACAACTCCAAACCCTTACGTTTCTAAGGTCTCAAATCTCCCAGGAAGGAGGTGCTTGCAAAAGAATTGAAGAGCCGCCAGTGCGGCGAAAGTAGCCTGATTTTTCATGCGACACCCTTTCTGCATCCGTCTGCCTGCTAGTGACGCAGGTTTTGCATGGCGTCCACCTTCTTTAAGAGCTCCGCCGCTTTGGCATAGTCTGTCTGCACACCATCACCGTTGTGATACATGACACCCAGCTTGAACATGGCTTTCGCATCGCCAAAGTCCGCCGCCCTCCGGTAGAGCTCGGCTGCTTTGCTGTGGTTCTTCTGGACGCCATCTCCGTCCATGTACATGCCACCCAAATTAAACATAGCCTCAACAAGACCAGCATCTGCGGCCTTCTGGAACAAATCGAACGCTTCGCGGACGTTCTTCTGGACACCGCGGCCTTCTTCATACATGAGGCCAAGGTTAGACATGGATTTGGCATCACCCAGGTCCGCGGCTGTTCTATAGAGCGCCGCCGCTTTGGCATAGTCTGTCTGCACACCATCACCGTTGTAATACATGACACCCAGCTTGAACATGGCTTTCACATCGCCAAAGTCCGCCGCCCTCCGGTAGAGCTCGGCTGCTTTGCTGTGGTTCTTCTGGACGCCATCTCCGTACATGTACATGCCACCCAAATGAAACATAGCCTCAACAAGACCAGCATCTGCGGCCTTCTGGAACAAATCGAACGCTTCGCGGACGCTCTTCGGGACACCGCGGCCTTCTTCATACATGAGGCCCAGGTTAGCCATGGACAAGGCATCACCCAGGTCCGCGGCTTTTCTATAGAACTCCACTGCTTTGCTGTCGTTCTGCTCGACACCATTGCCAAAATAATTCATGGTTCCCAGGCTGTACATGGCATTGACATTACCAGGGTCCGCAGCCTTCTCCAGCTCGACCGCATTGCCGAAGTTCAGCTGCACGCCACGGCCGTCCGAGTACATCTCATCCAGGTATGCCGTGGCTTCCACACAGCCAAGGTCTGCTGCCTTCTGGAACAACTCAGCCGCCTTGGTGTAGTTCTGCTGGACACCTTCACCGTACCTGTACATGCTGCCTAGGTAGGTCATAGATATTGCGTCGCCGAGCCCTGCGGCCTTTTCGAAAAGCTCCACCGCTTTGCTGTAGTTCTTCTGGACGCCAAGGCCGTCACTGTACATGAAACCCAAACCGACCATAGCTTTGACTTGACCAAAGTCCGCGGCCTTCTGGAACAAGTGCAATGCTTTGAGGAAGTTCTTCTGGACGCCCTTGCCTTTGTAATACATGACCGCCAGGCTGTACATGCCATTGACATCACCAAGCCCTGCAGCGTTTTTGTAGAGCTCCACTGCTTTGCTGTCGTTCTGCTTGACACCAATGCCAAGTAAATACAAGGTTCCCAGGTTGTATATGGCAAAGGCATTACCAAGGTTCGCAGCCTTCTGTTGAAGCTCGAATGCTTTGCTGTCGTTCTGCTCGACACCATTGCCATTGTAATACATAGATCCCAGGTTGTACATGCCATTGACATCACCAAGGTCGGCAGCCTTCTGTTGAAGCTCGAATGCTTTGCTGTAGTTCCTCTGCACGCCGCGGCCGTCCTCGTACAGCCTCCCCAGCAACGCCATGGCCTTCGCCCAGCCAAGGTCTGCTGCCTTCTGCAACCACTCAGCCGCCTTGGTGTCGCTCCGCTGGACACCATTGGCTTCGTAAACCTTCCCGAGGGCCCACATGGAGCTGGGGTCACCAAGCTCTGCTCCCTTCTCGAAAAGCTCTATCGCTTTGCTGTCATTCTTATGGACACCATTGCCGCTTTTGTACATGAAGCCCAAATTGAACATGGCGATAGAGTTGCCAAGGTCCGCAGACTTCTGGAAGAGGTCCACCGCTTTGCCGTAGTCCCGCCGCACGCCCCATCCTTTCTCGTACATGAAGCCCAGGTTAGCCATGGCCGAATGAGAGTTTGGGTCGAAACGGTCGAAACGCTTCCCGTCGCAGGAGACGACTTCCTTCTTGTTGCATCCATTGTACTGCCAGATCGTCATGTTTCTGAAAGCTTTGAGAGGGGAGAGAAGCCGTGCCCGCTCGAAAGCCACTGCAGTGGCAGAACTCATGAATGAACCGCTCATTCCAGGGTCCGTGAAGACAAGCTGTACTGTCAATGCTCCGCGGCTGGCCTGGGCCAATGCCTTCAACTCCGATCTGTAGAAAACCGTGTGGAAGATGGTCCTGTCACTGCGTCTCGGGTCCATGTGGTAGCCCATGGCGATCGTGACGGCGCCATGTCTCCCAGAAGCCCACGCGCCGACAAAGTTGCGCGAAGCACCGTCCCAGAATGGCTTCGTCACCTTCCAGGGGCAGTCTTGTAAGACCCTCACCCTCTCATCGTTCAGGAGCTTCGCAAGGGCTGTGTCTGGCTCCTTGGTGCTGTGAAGCACACAGCCGCCGGCGCCCCTCAGCGGCCATAGAACCTCCTCGCGCTCCGCGTCCTTGAAGCCGCTCCACAGGACCAAGCGCCGCTTCTCCTGGTGCCGAACGTGACGCGCATTCTAAGCTAACCCCCCCCCTAGGGTTTAGGGTTTAGGGTTTAGGGTTTAGGGTTTAGGGTTTAGGGGTTAGGGTTTAGGGTTTAGGGTTTAGGGTTTAGGTTTTAGGGTTTAGGGTTTAGGTTTAGGGTTTAGGTTTAGGGTTTAGGGTCTAGGGTGTAGGGTTAGGGTTGAGGGTTGAGGGTTGAGGGTTGAGGGTTGAGGGTTGAGGGTTTAGGGTTTAGGGTTTAGGGTTTCGGGTTTGGGTTAGGGTTTAGGGTTTGGTTTAGGGTTTAGGGTTTAGGGTTTTAGGGTTTAGGGTTTAGGGTTTAGGGTTTAGGGTTTTAGGGTTTAGGGTTTAGGGTTTAGGGTTTAGCGGTTAGGGTTTAGGGTTTAGGGTTTAGGGTTTAGGGTTTAGGGTTTAGGGTTTAGGGTTTAGGGTTTAGGGTTTAGGGTTTAGGGTTTAGGGTTTAGGGTTTAGGGTTTAGGGTTTAGGGTTTAGGGTTTAGGGTTTAGGGTTGAGGGGCTCCTGCCAGCTGTGGACCTGCACCCCGGAAGCCCTGGACCCACCTGCTTGCCCAAAGCGAAGGGTGGACCACCTTTGGAACAGGAGAGTGCTCCCCTAATACCCTAAACCCTAACCCTAAACCCTAAACCCTAAACCCTAATAGCCAAGTCATCCACGACACAAACCTGTGTATATGTTGTCAAATATACGGATACAGGAATGCGCCCGGCCGCATCTTGCTGAGAGTTCATGGCGCAACCGAAGGCCTGAAACCAAACCATTAAACTCAATAAACCCTTTATGTCCGATTATGTCCTAAGCCCCAAACCCTTAAACCTGAACCCTTAACCTTAACCCCGAATCCCTCAGACCCCCACCCTGAAGCCCAAAAGACCTGAAACTTCTCCCAAGCCCCGTCCTCTCCACAAGCCACCAGTCTCTTTGACCAGACTTCGAAATCCCCGAGGCTCACGACGCCTGCAGCCTGAGGTGTTCTGAGCTTTGGGCCTCTGAGGGATTCAGGGCTGAGAAGGTTCGGGACCTAGCACGGTTTAGGGATGTTTAGTAGGGTTTTGAGAGGCATTTCCTGCCTGGCCTCTGCTTCGCAGCCGCCCACCGAAACAGGCGAGCCCCTTTTTGCGTCCTTGCAGGGTGCTCTGGACAAAAGCTGCAAGGGTCTACTAAAGCTACCACAGCTTTCCGGTGAGCCGCCAAGGATCCTCCTGGCACGTCTCTGCTATCAAAGCCGTCAACGCATCCAGCTGCCGTTGGCAGCTGTCTGTGCCTTGGACATGGGTCCATCTTAGAAGGCGTTAAGGGCGTGCTCCCTCAATGTGGAAGGTGGAATTTGGAGCCCGAAGCCGGAACCAACACATCCACATAACCCACAGCTGCTCTCCTTGAAATGAACTGGTTGGAATAGCTAACGAAAACGAACATCAGGAAAGTTGGCAGCATGGATGCTCTAGTTCGGATCGGTAGAGAGTCTAGGCCTTACTTTAGGCCTCTTGCACTCCGAATGCAAACCACAATAACAGGGGCGAGACAGCAAAAACGCAAAATTGCGGTTTTTATACACACGAAACCCACGTCAACCTGTAAACAGCAACTTATTTCGAGGGTCGGACGCGAAACGCAAAAACCAAACTTTCCAGATGTGACACCCAGAAAATCGTGGCAAATGACCATGCTTCGGATCGGAAATCGACTGTAGTCCAGAATTTGACCTTTTTCTACGGCGTCGAAGGAGCCTGGCGGAAAGACACTAGGCCCACTAGGCAGACTAGGCCTTAGGCCACCCACCTCCAGGACCTCCCGCGGCTTTACGAAGCGTTACGAAGCTTGCAACATGCTTGAGGCCGGCTGCTTGCTTTTGGGCGCTCAGCCCGCCATGCGCCGCCATAGTGGGCTTCTGCCTCTTTCGCCTTTTCGAGCAGGCGCTGAAGCTTGGCGCTGGGCTCGAGGAGATTCTCTGGGACGCAGAAGGCCAGCTCGTCCTTTGGGCAGTCTCCGTAGTGCCACGCTGTTGCATCAAAATCCTGGGCCATGGGAGAGAGCAGCCGTGCGCGACGGTACAAGACGCTGCTTGCCACGGCTTGGTCGTCCAAGTTCATGGAGGTGAAGAGCACGTCCACTCGCAGCCCTTCTTTGGCCGACTCGGCAAGGGCTTTCAGCTCTGACTTGTACAAGATGGTATCGAAGATAGTCCCGATGGTCTCGTGGCCGAGCGATGCTGTAGTTCTGTGCATCACTGCGGGCTGCCCAGCTGCTCGCGAAGGCTCGGGAAGCACCGTCCCAGAAAGGCTTGACCGCGCTCCAGGGACAAGCCTCCAGCGTTCTGAAACCAAAATGGCAGAGTTGGGATAAGGTAGGGAACTTACAGCTACGGAGTTTCGTGTACGGCTTAGGCTTGCTCACGCGGCCGACTGTATCGAGCCTCTAGCACGCTCACTTGCGGGTCGTTGAGGAGCTCCCCAATCTTTGTGTCAGGTTCCTTCCGACTGTGGATGATGCAGCCACGAGCATCCCGCCTCAATGGCCAGAGGACGTGTTCGCGTTCCGCCTCGTCTCCCAAGCCACTCCAAAGAATGATCCGGCTCTTCTCCTGGCAGCTGCCGTTTGAGGTTGGTTTATGCACGGCATGCAAGAAGAAGTGACAGCCCACAGACCAGAAGAACCTCCAACATCCTCCACACACACACACACCCACACCCACAACACCCACAACACCCACAACACCCACAACACCCACACACACACACACACACACACACACACACACACACACACACACACAGAGGTTCGCACCCTCTTTCGAAGGAGTCGTATGTACAGAAGAAAACGACTCGCAACAATGATTAAGCCTCAAACTGCACTGACACTGAGCAGGTGAAATAAATGCTTTGCAGGTACATCCACCGGCGTCCCTGTAGACTTCCCCCTCACTCACTTAGCTTCCTTGGGCATGGTCTGTGAGGGAGGGCCATGCCCCCGTGCAGATGAAATTTGTATTCTTCCCTTGCTATCGGGAGGGTACACACACACACACACCGGTCCTTCCGGCAGACCACCAAGCTCTTGCTCCAGATCTCATAGTCGCCCTGGCTCACGACACCTTCGGCCTGGTGTTCCGGGGTGCCGGCTTGGTGTTCCGGGGTGCCGGCTTTTAGCTCCAACACCCCTTCAAGATCCCCTGAGGCCCCTTGTTTAGGGTTTAGGGGTTTAGGGTTTAGGATTTAGGGTTTAGGGTTTAGGGTTTAGGGTTTAGGGTTTAGGGTTTAGGGTTTAGGGTTTAGGGTTTAGGGTTTAGGGTTTAGGGCCCTCCGAAGGAAATCCTTCGTTTCTGCACTCGGAAGTTGGAAGTCTCCGGCCTCTGCCTCACAGCCGCCCTCCGAGACCGTCGCGTGGCGCTGCAAGTCCTGTCTGGGCTTGAGGGTTGAGGGTTGAGGGTTGAGGGTTGAGGGTTTAGGGTTCAGCGTTTAGGGTTTAGGGTTTAGGGTTTAGGGTTTAGGGTTTAGGGTTTAGGGTTTAGGGTTTAGGGTTTAGGGTTTAGGGTTTAGGGTTTAGGGTTTAGGGTTTAGGGTTTAGGGTTTAGGGTTTAGGGCGGCGCCCACTTCAAGCAAAGTATATAATATAGGCCCCATTTGAAAGGCCCCGATGTGCCGAGTTTCCACTCAGAGATAGAGGCCTTCTCAAAAGCTTTGTCAAAACCCCTTTGTCCCCAAACCAAGGATCCTCTTGGCAAGCCCCTGCGATGAGCCTCTTCAGCGATTCCAGCTGCTGCTGGCACTTCCCCTCACCTTGGGCACTTCAGCGTCGAAGTCTCTTAAAGGAGCGAAAGCCCGAAAAGCCCCAAAAAAAACCTCACACCAGGGTGCCGTGGATCTCCGGCCTCAGGGAGCGCACACCTGGGACTTGGGGGGGGAGGGGCCCCCCAAACCCTAAACCCTAAACCCTAAACCCTAAACCCTAAACCCTTTTAAAAAGGGGGTTTCGTGGTTGAGGTCTTCGGCTCCACCACATGCTTCAACATGCTTCAACAAGGGCTCCGGCCTTCGGCGCGCCCGGCGCAAGTCAGGACGCCAAGGATCAGGAGCCGCCAAGGCATTCGCGGAAACGTAGGTGGGTTTCACATGCTGGGGACGCTCTTGCTCAGTCTTCTTGAGCCAGCTGAAGCATCGGTGGTCTTGGATGCACATCCTTGCGAGTTGCGCTGGGTCCATCAGCAAGGGCTGATGATCCGTGTTCGACGGTTCATGGGTAGAAGAGGAGTAGAAAAGCTACCTGTCACCTGATCTCGCCAGGCAAGCCCTAGACCCGTAACCCGCAACCATCGTCTTAGCCGGAGACGAAGCGTGAATCTAGAACCCCCCCCCAATACCCCCAAGTAGGCCCTAAGTAGGCCATGGGTTCAGTTCGTACCCTGAACCTGCAGGTACACCTACGTTGCACACTGTACTTGGAGGTTCATGGGGTGGAAGAGAGCCCCACTGCCCTAGTGATTTTCTACCTGAAACCCCCCCAGTCCAGCAATATGAGCTGGCATCTTCGCAATCTCCACCCTGAGATTTCTCACCCTTAACCCGTACACCCGAAACGTTGACTCTGACACCCCTCTACCCCGGTCTTCAAAAAAGGGGAAGGCTCCGAGAGGAACTGAACTCCGATAGCCCACAACCTCGAAACCTCTCAAGGCTTCAGTCCACGAAATCCCAGAGGCAAGATTGGCTCATACGCAGGCGATAAAAAGTCAAACACGTTTTGTTGAAAGTTTGTTTTTTCCAAAAACAAAAAGCAAACCATCGTCAAACAATCTCTCTTCAAACGTCTCCACAGACTTCTTGACCACGACGAATAGTGGTTTTCTTATAGTGTAGTCAATGATGAGCCCCAACCTTGAAGTCTAAACCCCGAAAACCCCAAACCCTTAACCCTTAACCCTTAACCCTAAACCCTAAACCCTAAACCCCCGAAATCCCTGAAAGCTCTGAGTAGCCGCGCCTGGCGCAGCGCGTCCAAGAGCTTCTGAGGCTCGGAGCGGGCGACCGGGTTCGACAGCACTGGCGAAGAGGGTCCAGGGTTCAGGGTTCAGGGTTTAGGGTTCAGGGTTCAGGGTTTAGGGTTCAGGGCTTGGGGTTTAGGGTTTAGAGTTTAGGGTTCAGGGTTTAGCATTCAGGGCTTAGGTTGACAGTATCTGCGAAAGAGATGGCCACAATGGAGAGGTCTCTCGGCCCCCTCGTGCGTTTGTGTCTTGGCATATGCTGGGCTGCGCAGGGCCGTGCAGATGTGCGGATGCGAGGGAGTCAAGAAAGCCAAGCCCTAAACCCTAAACCCTAAACCCTAAACCCTAAACCCTAAACCCTAAACCCTAAACCCTAAACCCTAAACCCTAAACCCTAAACCTAAACCCTAAACCCTAAACCAATGTGGGCTTTGCGTGGTTCAGGATGCTGCGCTTCAAACAAAGAAGCGCAACACAAAACCCTAAACCCTAAACCCTATCAACCCTCAACCCTCAACCCTCAACCCTAAACCCTAAACCCTAAACCCTAAACAAAGAATCCGATCCGAACCGCCCGCTACACACAGCTGCGGCCACCGTCTTCGGCATTGGCGCCAAAGAGGTCCGTGGCCTCACCAGCACACCCTCCCGTTGGATTTCGGGTTTAGGGTTTAGGGTTTAGGGTTTAGGGCTTAGGTTTTGGGCAGATGATCGGGGATGGCGTAGGGATTTGAGGCGGGGGCTTGGTTCATGATTGGGCGGTCGCTACGGTTCACCGTAGTCTGCAGGTGGAGTTTGCAGAGTAGGAGCCGCTAAGCCTTCAGCCCTGAATCCCTAAACCCTCATCCCTCCCCCCCTAAATCCTACACGCCTCAACCACCCTAAGCCTGTACACTCCTACCACCAACCACCTACACCCCCGAAACCCTAAATCCCTAAATCCCTAAACCCTAAACCCTAAACCCTAAACCCTAAACCCTAAACCCTAAACCCTAAACCCTAAATGAGCCATGAGGCCACACCCCGCCCCCAGCCTCGCCGGCCACAAAGACCTCGAAGAAAGGGCTGTCTTGGCTATCTTCCTGCCAGATTGAGGGTTTAGGGTTTGGGTTTAGGGTTTAGGGTTTAGGGTTTAGGGTTTAGGGTTTAGGGTTTAGGGTTTAGGGTTTAGGGTTTAGGGTTTAGGGTTTAGGGTTTAGGGTTTAGGGTTTAGGGTTTAGGGTTTAGGGTTTAGGGTTTAGGGTTTAGGTTAGGGTTTAGGGTTTAGGGTTTAGGGTTTAGGGTTTAGGGTTTAGGGTTTAGGGTTTAGGGTTTAGGGTTTAGGGTTTAGGGTTTTAGGTTTTAGGTTTTAGGGTTTAGGGTTTAGGGTTTTAGGGTTTAGGGTTTAGGGTTTAGGGATTAGGGTTTAGGGTTTAGGGTTTAGGGTTTAGGGTCAGAAGCGACGCCCAAAACCCAAGCCCTGAACCCCCGCGCGTTCTAGATAAGAGGTCTTTGAATTTCAGTTCGACTGACAGGGTGTGCGGAGGTTCCTACTAGCAAGTATATGGGGGTTCCGAAAATAGGGGGTACCTTTTTGCGGCCTTCTTCTAAGGGGGGGGTCTATTTTAGGGGTCCCCCTATTTTCGTAAACCCCATATTATTGGGGACAAGAGGCGGGATGGCATGGGACATGATGAACCCCCCCAAAAAAACCAACTTGCACATCCACAGTGACAAGAAATAAAAATAAAAAAACGCGGGAAAAGGGGATGAACAGCGCCTCTTGCAGGGCCAGCTTGAAGCGAAACTCAATCCTGGCGCCCAAGATTGAGGGTTCAGGTTTAAGGGGACGTTCTCCAAGTTTAGGGTTTAAGGGTGTTGGGTTTTGAAGTTGAGGCGTGCTGAGGGCGAGACAGCACACGAGGCCAACTGATTCTCAGCCCCATATGGGGGTTTGGGGTTTGGGGTTTAGGGTTTAGGGTTTAGGTTTTAGGTTTTAGGGTTTAGGGTTTAGGGTTTAGGATTTAGGGTGGTTTAGGGTGTAGGGTTTAGGGGTTAGGGGTACCTTATTGGGGTCCCTTTTAAGGGGATTCTCTTCTATTTAAGGGGATTCTATTGTATTTGTGGTAGAGCAGGGGTACCCCTATTTTGGGAAATACCCATATGAACCAGGGTTTCTTATTATGTTTTTCAGGCGCGTGGATACGTTCTAAACTTGCCCCAAATGCTTAGGGTCTTTTGGAAACAGGCCTCTTTATACAACCCAAAGCCCCAAACCCTAAAACCGAAACCTTCCTTGAAGGAGCAGTGGTCCTGGTTTAGGGCTTAGGGGTTAGGGTTTAGGGTTTAGGGTTTCGAGTTTAGGGTTTCGGGTTTTAGGGTTTAGGGTTTAGAGTTTTTAGGGTTTAGGGTTTGGAGATTGCAGCTCCCATGCGATGGACGGCCTGAACAGCCAATGCCGGCAGTTCAGCACCTGTCAGCAAACAACCCTTGCCCCCACAGGCATGCTTCGATGGGGTTTAGGGTTTAGGGCTTAGGGTTTTGTGTTTAGAGTTTAGGGTTAAGGGCTTAGGGCTTAGGGCTTGGGGTTTAGGGTTTAAGGTTTAGGGTTTAGGGTTTAGGGTTTAGGGTGAAGGGTTTAGGGTTTAGGGTGTAGGGTTTACAGTAGGGTTCAGGGTAATGCATGGGTACCCACGTGAAAGTTCAAGGGCAGCTGCTTTGAAGGGCTTACGACTTACCAATCCCAACTGACATCCGAATCTTCAAGAGGCTTTGCGCTACATCAAACACCCTGGAGGTTCATGGGTACTTCGAAGTAGGGTTAGAAGTGCCCTAAACAGGCTTTACAATATCCAAAGCCCGTACAGCCCTACCCATAACCCAAAACCCTAAACCCTGAACCCCCTAAACCCCCTAAACCCCCTAAACCCCCTAAATCCCCTAAATCCCCTAAATCCCCTAAATCCCCTAAATCCCCTAAATCCCCTAAATCCCCTAAATCCCCTAAATCCCCTAAATCCCCTAAATCCCCTAAATCCCCTAAATCCCCTAAATCCCCTAAATCCCCTAAATCCCCTAAATCCCCTGAATCCCCTAAATCCCCTAAATCCCCTAAATCCCCTAAATCCCCTACATCCCCTAACTCCCCTAAATCCTAGATCCCCTAAATCCCCTAAATCCCCTAAAAACCCTAAGCCCAAGCGCCGATAACTAACCCTAAACCCGAAACCCTAAACCCTAAACCCTAAACCCTAAACCCTAAACCCTAAACCCTAAACCCTAAACCCTAAACCCTAAACCCTAAACCTAAACCCCATAACGACCCATGAACAACCGAGTCGTTGCGCAGCGTCGTCTCTGGGTGTGCCATCCGAGGCAGCATCTTCACAGAGGCCAGGAGCATGCCAGTGAGAAGTGCGAAGCTGCTTCAAGGGTTTAGGGTTTAGGGTGCAGGGTTTACGGTTTAGGGTTTAGGGTTTAGGGTTTAGGGTTCAGGGTTTAGGGTTTAGGGTTTAGGGCTGCTTGTCTTTCTAGAGCCAAACATTGGGTTTCGGTAAAAAATGCCAAAAATCTTGCTAAAATCATCCTTCGGGTTCTTCCTCAAATCATCCTCCCTCCACATTCCGTCTTCCCAACCTTCCTAAAAATCATCCTCCCAGTCATCCTCCACCTCATCCTGAATGTATCCTCTGTGAAAATTCCAGTTTCCCAACCTTCCTAAAATCATCCTGGAATTATCCCCACATCCTAAAATCATCTTATGTCAAAATTCTGGCTTCTCGGTCTTCCTAAAAAACCACAACATTATACTCCACATCATCCTGAAATCATCCTCAAATCATCCTAAGATCATCCGAAAACCATCCTAAACTCATCCGATAATCATCCTAAAATCATCCTAAAATCATCCTAAGATCATCCTAAGATCATGCTAAGATCATCCTAAACTCATCCGAAAATCATCCTAAAATCATCCTAAAATCATCCAAAGATCATCCTAAAACCATCCTATGTCAAAACTTCGGCCTCCTCATCTTCCTAAAATCACTCTCAAAATTATCTTCTACCTCCTCCTAAAATAGGAACATTTTCACAGGAACATTTGATGAACAACAAATGGGCATGTT